CTGTTCCAACACCAGTACAGGTCAGTCACCATCGCTTTCTCAAATGTTAAGTCAAACTTCAGTCTAAAAAGCAAACAAGGTTGGTTTTTTTTATTTTGCAGTGGGAGATGATTGGAAGTTAGTTGCTGAGGAATTGGGTTTGAACCCCGCCGAGATTCGTTTCCTTGACAACCGCATCCTGAACCCAGCTGAAGCCACATTGTCTTATGTCGCACATCAACGTTTGTTAACTGTAGGGGATCTTTACGGTGTCCTCGCCGCTTGTCACTTCCCTTTGATAGCCGATGATCTCTGAAAAGAATGACCTTTTAGTATTGCCAAGTTGTTTTTTGCAAGCAAGTACAGTCGAACCTCCGATTGCGGACACCTCCCGTCAGCGAGTACCTTCCATAAGTGGACACCAACAAACCACCATCCCATGCACGTGGACACCAATGTTGGTCCCAAGGGTGTCCATTTGCTAGAGGACCGAACATAGATGTCCGCTTACAGCAGGTTATAAATTTAGAGTTTCAGGGGAGAAATCTCTCTTACTGCCTTACAACAGGATTCATAGTTTTTGAACCCAAGAAAGGAAGAGCTGTTTATCCGCTAGATTTCCAATTCGTCAGTATTAGATAACGACTTGTCATACTGGAGAGGAATTTTTCATTTTTAAAATAGAGTTTCTAGATATCACGGTTAGAACTATAGAATATTATTGACAAGACACTCGTTGATGTCCCTGAAGCACTTCAACTTCACCTGTCGTAAAAAAATCTCTTTCAGTTAGTGAATTTCTTCAGGTTTGAGTTGTAACGAGACAAATTGCGCGTTATATAGTTCAAATTGCAAATTTCAGCTGGTAAAACTTTTTTCGGTAGAAACGTATTTCAAAGAAAAGGTTTCAGTAGTTTTTCAAGTAGCTTTGGGTGAGTTTCAAATTAGAGCTAAGGATGAAGTAAATGACGCAAAAAAGAGGAAAAAACGCTTATCAGAACATAAATATTTTGAATTGCAAAATTTGACAAAGTGGTTTTGTAACGAGCGTAATTGTTTTGGTTACTGCGCACGTGCGCGTGACCAGTATTTCAATTACGCTGTGCAACTAACAATAGGACATTCGCAAACAAATCCGGAACGTTACGTCAATCTTCACACTCTCGCGCCGGTAGAGTGTTGTTGCTCGCAGGCCAAACATTTTTACAATGAACGACCAAGATTTAACATACGTCATTGGTAACTGAACTTTGGAAAATTAAAAAAAACATAGCTTACAACAGCTTTCACAAGATGTGTAAAATGGAAGGTTGTGCTATTCAATTTCGCTATCAAGCGGGTGAGAGTCGGCGAGAATCAGGAAGCGTTCGTCACGTGCATGGCCGGGAATGGTGTCATTCAAATAGCGCTAAAACGAATGGCGTCGTTTGCACATGTCCGCATTCAATAACGAATATGTTTTTAGTATTGGTTACTTAACTATAAAGTCTTAAACTAGTGCTAATAGATTGCTAAGAGTTTAGTAATAAATGGGTCCATGTTTTTAAAACACGCCTTTTAGCCATGGT